CGCGCCGTGACGTGCGTGTTCCGTCTGACTGCTGTCATGTAACGACGGCCCGCCTCTGCCTCCGCCGTCACGGGTCCGTATGGGGGTCGGCTGTCGGCGGGCTGCCGGTGGTCTGTCGCTGACGCCGTCAGCTCCGTCGCGGGCGACACGCAGTGAGCGGGCTCGATGCGGGCGGCCGTCGCTGACGTGGTCGCGGCCGGTCCCAGGCACCGCAGCCGACCTGGCGTCGGCCGGACGTGCGCCCCCGGGGGGGGGGGGGGACTCGCGGTCGTGGGCTCCCGGGCAGTGGAGTCGTCAGACTGGGTCGCTGTAATAGCCGGGTCTGGTCTGGCTGTTACACAGCTATATCGGGCGATCAGTCTGGCGGCACTGAATCGCATTCGTGGCTTGCCCTTGCTGGAGAATCGAAACGCGTGGTTTCGTTTAACTGTCCCCTTTCTATGTTATGAACATTTGTATGCTAATCCACTCCGCTATAAAACAAACCTCGAGGGTTTGGCTTACAGGGGTTTGGTTTCAGTGTACTAGTTAAACGGTTCTAGTTACGTGCGCTCCGAACGCACCACCCAAAACAGGCTGATCCGGTTTATACGAATATTCTTTAAACATCCTTTCCTGGCAGGGTTTTTTCTCGATATGGAACAGAGCTCGACACGGCCTCCACGGGCAGTGTTGACCTCTTGGCTTGCTGCCAGCTGGGCAAGGCAGTGCTACTCGCCCCCACCCCACCCCCCACCCCGCCCTCGCCCTCTCCGAGATCTATGCCCTGTCCTGCTGCATTACGAGTCCAGTATCATTTCCCGTGATCACGCCAGCGGAGAACGTCCGGGCTACGCTCTGCCCTCGCAGTGGCCCGCTCATACAGCCCGACTGGAACTGAGAGCACCGACTAAAAAGCGAAGGAATCCTCTTTCTTTTACGGGTCTGGGCCATTCAGTATAAACGGAGCGAATGCTGCTTGACCTAATCCAGGCAGTGCCGAGCCTCCCCCCACCCGTCAGGAATCCTCGGCTCAGTTATCTTTTATTCAGTCGGTGATCTACGGCCGCTGCCGTCCACAGATGATGGTCTATTCTCGGGTCGGACACGTGCTGTTGTTGGTACAGCATCTCTTGCCTGAGACGCACAGGATCACCATCGACCCTAAACCCGTCGATACGGGAATCCGCGATCCAAACAGCCGTAGTCTTTGCTGAAGAGCTGACGCTTCGAATCTCACAACCGTTTGTCCCTCCGTTACCGCAACAACCGTCCGTTAAACATCCGTCCGGCGCCCAAAATGCGCGCCGTTTCGTTCGTTGTGTTGTTAGGTTATTTTGTTAATTTTAAGACGTTTTATGCATAGTGTTATGTTTTGCTTTTCTGCACTTCCATCACTTGAAATATTTGATTGATTTGTTACACAACACACGCGTCATCTGCCAGGAGCTGGGTGCTGAAGAGTTCGCTACACGTTTGAGGTTTTCACACCAGACGTGACCAATTTTAGGACTGGTGCTTCATTGCGCTATACATAATTGCGCTCTCGAAAACGATGTCAGCTGTTGTTGACAGATGAAAATGAGGTATTTAGAAAGTGGCGTGTTTGAGAATAAATACGAGTGGGTACCTGACTTTAGGTAGGCTGCCTGAGCTCTGACCAGGCGCGTGATGCGAACCCACCGCCCATCTTCAAACTTGTAGCTCGGAGGGATGATCTGCCTCTCAATGGTTGCCGCGCGCCCCTCCGCCAGCTTCCCGCCTCGTGCGGCGACGCACGCGGGCGCGGTCTCAGGCCCGCCAAGTTGGCGACTTGCCGGCAAGACGGATATCACAGCATTGCTCGCGCCCGGCCCGGTACTGCTGGACAGAACCGCCAGCTGGCTGCCCCACGTGACTGGAAGTGACGTCACGTCCAGGCCAGTGCGCGTTGCATGTCCCCGCGTGGCGTGCAACGGCGAAATGCCTGTAGCCGGGTGTGCCGTGGCCCGGTACAACCGCAGGAACACCTGCACGTGAGAGGTTCTGGGCCGGCGCAGCGTGCCAGCTGACGAGATGGTGCCCTCCACCGGTATGGTGAGGCGCTCCACTATGCCACGCGTTTGTGGCGAGTACAGAGAGCGGAACAGGCCTCGAACGCTCAGAGCTCGTAGGTACTGGGCAACCTCAGCTGGGCGAAACTGGGACCCATTGCCCGACACTGGGACCCATCGTCCGACATTGTGGCCCACCGTCCGACACAGGGGCACATTGTCCGACACTGGAGCTCATTTTCCGACGCTGGGACCCACTGTCCGACACTGGGGCCCGTCGTCCGACACAGGGGCCCATCGTCCGATACTAGCTCCTCCGGCACACCCTCTCGCGCAAACAAAAGGCACAAGAACGTGATCACGGAGTCGGCAGTCACGCCCCCACCGAACGCAACTGCCAGCCGCGGGCTGTACCAGCACCAGCTCCAGCGCCACCAGCTACGCGCTCAGAGCAGGCGCCGTGGAGGTCGTCTCCTTCGCCCGCCGCAGTTCACCAGCGAGGAGTGACCCTGAGACCACGCGGAGGGTCTGCCTTCAGAGCGGCCCGCGCGGGCTCCACGAAAGCGGAGACAGACCGCACAGACCGCACGTGGACCGCACAGACCTGCACAGACCGCACGTGGACATCACTGAACCGCGGAGTGCCTGCAGCCCGCGCGCGTCACTGAAATCAGGGCTCTGTAGCAGAGGAGCCACGTGCTCAACATCGGTGTGGGCACCGTGGCATGAGACGATGCACCTGGGGAACGAAGGAGACCGCGCACGCGCAAGCACTTGGACTCCCTCGCCTGGACGCTAGCGCGGCTGAAGACAGCGTCCACTCCCTGTACACATCGGTCATGCGTACCCTCTGAGGACCTGCCAACACTTCCAGCTTCGCTTCCCTATAGGTTCGGAAGGCTTTCTCACATGTTACACTCAGGCACACAATGTCTGGGAAGCGCTGTTACTGGGAAGCTTCTGTCGACCACCATGGATGGTGGTTTGCCACACCCAGTGGCCGTGATGTGTGCAGCTGCTTTTCCTGACCCACTGACGTAATCTGTAAGGTGCGAACAGTGCGGGCACTGCCGGTACTTCAACACCCCCCGCACTGAGGGACAAAATGTCTCCTCTTGCCACAGTGTTGGCGGATGGTGTTGCTGGCAGGGCACACAGAATCCTTGGCGTAGTGGCCCTGTTTGCAGCAGAAGCGCGTTGGCTGGAGCAACATACTTTTGGATTTGTAATCCGTTCATTTCATTCATTGTGTATTTCATTCATTCATTTCAATTGTATTTCATTCATTATTGTATTCAGTTTTTATTTCATTCATTCATTTCATTCATTTTCAACATTCAGCATCTGGAGCCGCCCGCAGCTTCTGGCGGGGATGCTTGCAGAGCTGGTTGCATGGCGCTGCCGCCCCCCCCCCCCCCCCCCCTACTGACTCCGCCATCCGGTAGTGATGCAGTCTCCACTGACCCCATCAGCAGCGTCTTCGTGAACGTAAAGTCCACCTCCATCAGTATGTGCTGCCGCGGAGGAGCTGCAGACGGCTTCTCGATCGCTTGGTCACGGATACGTTCCTCACTGTGGTCACCATAATCACACGTTGCAGCCACTGCTGCAGCACACTGACCCACTGTGCAGTGGTGTCGTGACGCCGCTGAGCCTGACATCTGAACCTGTAGTGCTCTGCAACTACACCACACCTGGGCCGAAAACCCTGCAGCAGATAGTGATTTTGCGCGAAGTCCGTCACACTGTCTGCCTAGCGCGCTGCATGAATGGTCTGGAACACTATCTGGCCCGCACAGCCGAGGCGGAGGCACAGCCAGCCGGGCCCGAGAGGAATTACCCCCCCCAATCGCCAGGAGATAAGATTGTCAAACTGGCCGATCCATACCGGCCATGGAGCAGCCGGGTCGCCGGGTGTGACAGAAATGGTGCAGATGCCGATCGCATGATTAAATTCATCGCACGGATTCCTGCTTCGTCGTCGTTGCCAATCTGTCTTGTCTTGTACAACGTCTTCTCCCTTGAGAATCATCCTGGCCTTGGGCCGCAAAGGAAGTATTAAGGGGGCTGTTAGGGGGGCAGCGAGGGGGCTATTTAATAGGCGGTTTGTGATCCACACTCAGAACAGTGAGGAGCCGGTTAATGCCGCATTGCCAGACAGTAGACCATGTGCAGATGTAAACAAAATACCGAAGTGACGCGGAAAAGACAAAAGATAGAAAATGCACGGTTGAAAGAGTGAGAAAGCTGAGTTAAAATATGATCAAAAGGCAGTGAAGCGCAGACCGATGTTTGCTTTAACATGTGTGCACAAGTGCACACTGGATGAGGTTGTGTGGATATATTTTTTTTTAATTCACCTACAAATTGTGCACGCAAATCTCCGGTGAAAGGTTACTAGTGTTGTGTGATACGAACAACAATACTGGCTTGATGGTTATCACTGTTCAGCCTTACGCTGTGCGTGGGAACTAAGTAATAATTTTTAGGTGGCTGGTGTAGTTGAAATCATCATCTCAAATTTCCGTGATAAAAACATGTTTGTTATGGCTCTTGCCATAAGGTGTAACGCGCGCTGTGGTAGCGTCCGCCACACTCCTGTCGTACGCTTAAAACAGATGTGTCGCGGAAGCGACGCGACCCTGCTGCATGCTGGTCAACTGCATGCTGGTCATGCTGCATGTGGTGACACGTCTGCTGAAAGCTCGAGGCCACGCCGAGCTCCGCCACGAAGCGTGACCCGTGCCAGTGACTCGGTGAAATTGTATGATTGCTTAGTGACCTGTTGCGGTGGGTAAGTGGCTGCCGCACAAAACTATTGTGCATTGCCGCCAGAGTTTTCGTCATGCACCGCTTGATCGTGGTTGGCCGAGAGCTTGGCTGGGCTTCGAGTGCATCCAGCATTCAGCGGGCCCATGCCGTCTTATGAAAATCAGCTTAAAACTGCCGCTGTCAGGCCAAGCCAGTTAAAACTGGTTTGTCAGCACAATGTCTGCGTGAGCCCACACCGTCCCGTCACAATAGGACCTGTCGCACTCATGCACCACTCACGCTGAGTCTCCGCCGGAACTGGAGCTGAGCGCTTTACTTCCGCGCCGACCCTGGACGTACTTGTGAGCTGAGCTTATGGCGACGACTATTCCCAAAATCACTTATCTCAGGGATGGTAGCGCGAGTGCCCCACATAGTGCCAAACGCTCCCAACGTGTGAATAGTTAACCAAGGAGGCCATGACCGTAGCGGAAGCCCGCATGAATAACCAACGCAGCGAAAAGCTCTCCAGAACGCTGGACTAAGTGCACTGCTTCTCAAGCGCGGGAGAACGGACCCGACGTCGCCTGTCCGTTCACTTACATGATGCAATGTACCGCGCCCTCGCGCGGCCCACCGTGCCGGGTTGGAGGCCCGCTGCGTCTCGAGGCAGGCTCGCAGGCTCCCGGGTTTCCATGTTTCCACTGAGTCCGCTGAGTGGTCTTGTACCTTGAATGAACGATCTGCGGGTCGCTGCGAAGTGCGCCGCGGTGTCGTCGCGGTCTTCCTCTTCGACGGCTGTTTCATGCTTGTGTTTGCCTGATTGTCTCATCATCAGTCGAACTGTCGTTGTTTTTCGCCCGCTGTCTGCTTTGTGCGCGATTTCAGACGGCATGACGCAGTGATCCAGGCCCTTGACGCGTGTGTGCCTCCTCTCCGATTCCTGCAAGCTCAGTTGGGTAGCCATCCTCCCTGCAACGTGTGTTGAGGTCATTAATTCTTTGACGTCGACGCGTGCTGACGTCACATCGGAACAGTAGCCACCTCGACACAACGCGGAGGTGGTACGAGTGCCCACACCGGGGAAGGAGGGGGGGGTACTTCCTTTCCCGTGAGTGTCTCGCGCTATCTCCCACCGGCCAGGCTCCGAGCGGCCTGCCGGGGGTTCCATCCACTCATTCCATGGCCACAGTAACCTGACGTCGCTATCCTCATGCTGTTTGCAGGCAGCTGGAGGACGTGGACCAGAGCCTGGCCAAGCTGGAGGCGGTCGCCATCCAGCTGGACGCGTACTCCAAACAGCTGGAGTCGCGATTCCGAGCCGTCAGCGGCCGGTGATGGCGATGATGGTGACGAAGTGGGTGGTGATGTTGATGGTGCTGGTGCAGGCAGTGTTCACGGTGATCCGATAACCGTTTGGCGATGCTGTGAAGCGCCACAGTGCGCCTGAACAGTATCAAGGCATTGAGGCATCAACCAGGCAGGCCTTTTGACGAGGGTTATCCGTTGCGCGCCGCGACGCAGCGCACGCCAGCATACCCCGTGATGACGTCACCTCATCCGGGACATTGGCGGTGTCGCTGCCGTCGCCTGCAGCGCACTTCGGCACGCGTCGACAGCCCTGCGGACGACGTCACGTCCCCTGCCTCGTCCACCGGTGTGCGTGCGTCTGTATATATACACCGGGGGCGAGACGCTAACGCGTCGGAACACAGGGACGCTGCCAGCACGGCCTCGGGACACAGGGACGCTGCCACCACCGCCTGCGGGGCCTGGAAAACCATGCGCCGTCACGTGGGGTTCCGGCGCCCGTGCCGGCTTAACTGTAGCTGATTAGTAGTGATGGCCCCTCCACTGCTGTCTGTCAGCGCACTCCCCCGAGGCTCGGGCAGGGGGCTCGGGCAGGGGGCGTGGGCAGGGGGCGGGGCAGTCGCGGCCGGCGGAGGCCGGTTGTCTCGGCACGTCCTCGGTCGAGGCCGGCGCCATCGGCGCTGCGCTTGTGTTGTTAGATGGGAGGGTGTGTGTGTTGTGTTGTTGGATGCGAGGGTGTGGCGTGATCTCCCACGCGAGGCGCGGTGTTGACGGGCGTGCGGTTGGCCGTTTCCCTCACGCTGCTCCCACGTGGCCGTCGACATGGGCGGCGGCCGGCGGCGACCCTCTCTTGCAGTGACGCCTCTGACCGTGACCACGTCCGGCGGCGGGCCGGTCCCGGCTCGTCTGGGTCGCGTGGTGTTGCGCGCCTGTCCAGCCGGATCGGGGAGGTCCTCGGTCGCAATGGGTGGGGGGGGACGTTGCTGGGCGGGATTTGGGCGGCGTGGACGTGCCATCATAGCCATTGGAGGCCATTGAGCGTGCGTTAGTGGCCTCTTCATCATCGGTTTGACGCCCACGCACGTTCCTGGTCGTGACAGGCCTGAAAGTCGTCTCGGGCCCGCCTTCTGCTCATTTTTCCCTTGCTCCAAACGCGTGCGTAATTGAATCAAAATCGCTCACTTCTTACCGTCTTTGCATTCTTCCGTAAATTGAACGTCGGCGTGCTTGCGTCCCTTTCTAATCGTCGGTGCCGCCAAGACTTGCAACTTGTTAGCGGATCTCATTAGCCCCGCCGTCGTCAGCTCCACCCCCGCCGCCGTTGCCGCCCTGTCGCCGACCCGCGTACGTGCCGCCAGGGTCAGACAACCGTCTTCCGCCGATGCATGCTTTTGAAGCAAGCACGGTCTTGGCGACAGTCGGGCTGGGCGTGCTCGCCGCCCTCCCCGGCCGTGCGGCGCCGGTCGGACCCCGGCCACTGTCACGGAGTCGACACGCAGTGAGTGGGCGTCGACGCGGGAGGGATGGGCAGCTCGGCGTGCGTTCGTTTGCCCCCCCCCCCCCCCCCCCCCCCAACCACCCACCCACACCCAGTCCTCAGCTGGTACACGTGGGCGCCGGTGCGCCCCTGCTGCGGGCTTCGCGCGAGGGTTCGGGTCCCACTGATGATCCCATGGGGGTCCCACTGGGGTCCCAATGGGGGAGGGGGCGAAGGGGCATCGCTGTACCTGAGCGGTGAGGCGGTGTGGCGGTGTTACGGGGCTGAATGCATTCCTGGGGCTGACGGTGCTGGGGCGATATTATGTGTGTTCCGTACCGTCGGATACGTATCGGATATGCATCGGCGCATGTGCGTGTGTAGCTGCGCATCTGGACTCGTGCGCGAAATGCACACTGGTGTATACCCCTGAACGTGACTGCCTCTCGCGTTGACTCTCGTTCTGCATCGGTCAACTTGGCCTGTTGGAGGCGGCTCGACAGTGCGGATGTGGGCGACGTTTGCCTGCGCGTGCGCTGGCTCATCCAACCGAAACGCAGCCGCTCGCTGCTGCGGCGTCACGAAACCTCCCAACGGATGGTGGTCTGACTTGGAGAACTCCGGTACGGCACGCGGCTGCAGCATTGCCACTTCGATAGCCTACAGTTTGGATGGGTGGTATGAACACACCTTCTGGATTGTTACTGGATGAATGGAAACACATGTCGGCTTTCCAACAGAGAGCTTGGCTCCCGCCGGTATATAGGTTTCCAAGATAACGCCGATTAGTCTTTGACTCATGTGCTTGCCGAAAGTGACATCCAAACGGTGCTGTCTGTTGGCCGATGCGACTGCAAAAAGATGCAGCAGTGGGAGTCGTAAAAGTGGAAGCGCATCTATTATCGGATCAAAGCCGAGGCGCTGCCTCGAACGTGCCACCCGGCGCTGAATCACCGCCCTCAAGCCCATCCGGCGGAAGCTGCTTACCGTCGTGAGGGCATTAAATGAATTTGGTCCCTCATCAAACTGAAAGCAGAAGTTACTGCGGTTCCTAGGCCTGTGACCCATCTAATCTCTCCAGAAGTCCCCGGTGGATTTCTTAGATACTTTAACAGAGAGTGTTGGTACGGTACAAGCATACAGTCACACATCTATGTTGAAGTTGAGAGATGTCAGTACCGGTGAAGGTA